CAGTTACCACAGACCCATCCCCATGCTAAAGTGTCTGATTGCTTTCAAGTTTGATTTCTGTCAAGACCTGGTCACAGCTCCACTTAGTGAATGTGAATGTGCCTGCATATTCATATTATTAGGAAACACAAAGCTCAGTGTATTAATAAAAACCACTTCATACAGAGGTTTTCACATTGCTGTATTAAGCTGGAAATAGCTTTTTGTTTCTTAATAGTTTAAAAATTCTGTGAGGCACAGGTAATGACAGCATCAGGCTTGAGAAAATGACAGTAATATTTCCAAAGGAATAAAGAGAGTCCACGGTCCAGAGGAAATGATACTGTGAAAGCAGTTATCTATTTGGTTATTAAACATTTTACAAGCCTTTACCTTAATTCTGCTTGAAACAATGATGATATGTAGATAATAAGCTAGCAGTTCATTTTGTCTGGGTGAGTATTAAAAATTATGTACTAGAATATGTAGAACACCAAGAATCTTAATAATACTAGCTAAATTATTATTAACAAGAGTAATAATGGCAACAACAGCAAAATCTCCAGAGTCTGCCTAACTACTGTCATGGTATAGTTTTGCTGAGCAATATAGACCAGTTTTTAGGAGCTGCCACAGTGGGAGTCTGTGTGGAAGCACTGCCTTCCAGCAACTGATGTTAACTAATTAAGTTCCCCAACACTTGCTACAGTAAGAAAAGTGTCTGAACTCTGAGTGTGTTCTAAGAATTCAAAACACCACCCACTTAATGAAATCCAGTCCTTTCATTTCTTGCAGTCTTCCTTGGCTTCTTACAAAGGCAGTAGATACCTAATGCAAAGGACAAAAATTTTCAATTTTAGACTGTTAACATCTGTTTGGAGATGTTGCGAATTGATATAATTATCCTCAATAAAAATATTATCAATTTGTCAGCATTATTGATGACTAAATGTCCCTCAAACACCTGGGTGAGTTTCTTATGAAACATCTATACAATGAGGTTAATTCTCAAAATATCTAAATCCCTACACCCTTATCAAAGGGGTATCATGTGTCCATACATATGTGGATAGAACACACAATTCAGGATGTGATAATGGATCCTGACATTGCAAATGCTGAATATTTTTGTCCTCTTTATTATGTCCTTATCATAACCATTAGCTACTAGGTTATTCTAGTTGGAGACAAACTCCTAGCTTAAATTCTTCTTATCACAAGAAGACTATTGATTTATTATTCCATGCTAATTACATAACTTTATTGGTGACTTTTCTTGGAAGCCTTACACTTCCTTTTTTTCAGTACTAACTTCACACATATATTCAACTGAACAAGGGAAAAACATTAAAACAAAACTTCCTCATGGACTTGTTTTTTCCTGTAGCTTTTTTCATCATCTCATGATCCATCTTGACCCTGAAGGTTTTTATGGGAATAAGAAGAAAGGCAATGACAAGCATCTAAAAAACCAAATGATCATAAAGACTTTCCTTAGACAGAAGCTAGTGTCAATGGGAGTGGGTAAAAAACAAAAAAAAAAAAAACAAAAAAACCAAAAAAACCCAAAAAAAACAGCCAATCCTTTGCTCTGCTTTTTTTTTTTTTTTTTTTTTTTTTTTTTTTTTTTTTTTTTTTCCCCAGAAGTATGATAAAACAGCAAAATTCAAAATAATTTCATTTTTGTTCACTGCATACTTGAGCAAAAATTTTTGCTGGGATCAGTGTTGAGTCCTTCCTGAGAGAAATTAAGTCCTTAAATGAGAATAACAAACGAAAAATAATGGAGAAAAGAGTACAAAAACCGAAGATTATGCCAATATGCCAGCTATACACTTAAGTTTACACTGCTTGTTCATTTAAGCACAAGATTATACAGAATAAGGTCAGGGGAAATCATCCCATATGCATCCCCAAAGATATCTGATATATCCAATGACAGCAGAGTCCTGTTTTTTCAAAATACTTTTGGAACATCAAAACATTTGGATAAACAGGGCTTCAAATAATTGAGGGAGTTATTGTATAAGTAATTCACACCAGGGGGACATAACCTAGATTCAAAGGACTGAGTTTCAGATCAAAGGGGTACAGATAAATGAGATTTGGCTCCATATGAACAAATAAATAAAATTTTTAAAAAAACCCCAAAACCCAAAACATTTGATTATTCAGTATCCAAGAAATGTCCAAGCATTTTTTCAAAAAGAGTTTAGGACAAAAGGTTGAAATTGTTGCAATAGGCTATGCAGAAGAATATTCCAATGGAGTCAAAATAACATAACTAAACAAGACCAAAATGATATTGGAGGTTTTTGGTTTTTGTTTTTTGGGGCGGGGGG